GGCACCCCAAATCATCACTGACTTCGGAAACTTCACACTGGACTTCAAGCAGCTTGGATTCTGTGCCTCTCCAGTCTTCCTCCAGACTCCAGACCTTGATTTCCAAATGAAATGCAAAATTTACTTTTATCTGAAAAGAGGACTTTGGACCACTGAGCAACAGTCCAGTTCTTTTTCTCCTTAGCCCAGGTAAGATGCTTCTGACGTTGTTTCTGTTTCAGAAGTGGCTTGGTATTCCTTTTCCTGAAGAAGTCTGAGCGTGGTGCCTCTTGATGCACTGACTCCAGCTTCAGCCCACTCCTTGTGAAGCTCTCCCAAGGTCATCCCTGTTGCTTGTGCACCATTTCCTACCCATTTTCTTCCTTCCAGTCAACTTTGCATTAAATGTGCTTTGATACAGCACTCTGTGAACAGCCACCCCTTTCAGTAATGATCTTCTGTGACTTACCCTCTTTGTGGAGGGTGTCAATGATCGTCTTCTGGACCATTGCCAAGTCAGCAGTCTTCCCCATTATTGTGGTTTCACAGAACAAGATACCCGGAATGTATACTGTAGGGATGGTCATTTAATGAAACTCAAATGTAAATATTCTAATATTTTGAGATACTGGATTTTTGACTTTCATGAGCTGTTAGCTCTAATCATCAAAATTAAAACAAATAAACTTTTTAAATGTTTTACTTTACATGTAATGAATCTAGAATATATGAAAGTTTCACTTTTTGAAATAAGTTAAAGAAAAAAAAACAAAAAAAAACTTTTTCACGATATTCTGAGATGCGGGTTTGCACACACATATCTTCTCACAGTGCGCCCGAGTTCTCATTTGTGTCTTTTTAATATTTTCACTTTTCATTTGTTTTTATTTAAGTTTTAGCAATTTTAGTATTTTAACTTAAACTTATTTTATTTCAGTTATTTACCAAGGCAGCATTTCTGATTTTCTTTTTCAATGCATTATGAATTGCAGGTTTATATGAAGTTTTAGTAATTTTATGTGCTTTTGACATTTTTTATGATTGCCATTTTTTGTAATATTTAAAAATATATATATTTAATATTTTTATATTTATTTTTTAATATTCCTTACATTTTAGTAATTTAATACTTCAACTTATTTTATTTCCAATTTTTATATTTTATTTCCACTTCATTTCAGTTAACAAAAGTGTTTTTTGTAATAGTGTTAGCTCTTGCTGCGTTGTGTTCTGAATTGCAGTTTGTCACGTTTTAGAACGCAACGATTTCGCTTTGAGAGAGTTTCAGTGTTTTGGATTAAATGAATGTTCATGACTCACAGTAACACAAGACCACCGGCTCTTCACCGTGTGTGTGTGGAGTGTGTGTGAGTGTGTGTGTGTGTGAGAGAGTGTGTGTGTGTGAGCGAGTGTGTGTGAGTGTGTGTGAGTGTTTGTGTTTGTGTGAGTGTGTGAGGACGTGCAAAGCATGTTTCCACCCACTAAACGAGCCTGCGCTGATCTGGAAAAGATCGATAATGAGAATGAGGACTGAACTTCTCAAACACACTCCCAGTATGAATCATCTGAGCTCAGAAACACACACGAGAATCAGAGACGCAGAGCGGCCCACATTATCAGTGGCACGCGCTCACATCATGTCAGGAACAATCCTCCATTGTTCTCCAGCATTAGAAACACAATCTCATACATTTATGACCCACAAACAGACAGTATTTCCCACGTTTCCACATGATTATTTAGTGCCAGACCCAAATCCTGATTTATTTAATATCTTTCAGTATCTTTCAGATTATTATTATTTGAAATTACATTATCTTTTTTCTACTCACTTTAGTACTACTACTGTTTTTTTAAATAGTTTTATTGTAATTTTTATTTCTTCTGGAAGCACACGATTATTTAGTGCCGGACATATATTTCAGATGTTTATTTATTTAAAAATTTTAGTTTTTAGTTTAATCTATTAATTGTTACATTATCCTATTCTACTTACTTTAGGACTGCTCTTATTTATTTATTTAATTGTCTATTTATTTTTAATCTCATTTTTATTGTTTTATTGTAATTTGTTTCCCTTTGTAAGCACACAATTATTTAGTGCCAGACACAAAACCCTGATTTATTTCAAATTTTTCTGTCTTTTTCTGTCTGCAGTATCTTTCAGATTATTTTATTTTATTCGTTTGTTTGTTTACTTACTTACAATATTTAGTTTCTATTTCATTGTTACATTAACTTTTTCTACTTTAGGACTGTTCTATTTATTTATTTATTTACATACATTTTTATTGTTTTATTGTAATATGTTTCCCCCTTTAAGCATATGATTATTTAGTGGCAAATGCAAAATCCTGATTTATTTCAGATGTTTATTTAAAATATTTAGTTTCTATTAATTGTTACATTATCTTTTTCTACTTACTTTAGGACTGTTCTTCTTTATTTATTCATCTATTTATTTATTTTAATCTACTTTTTGTTTGTTTTTATCATTATAATATGTTTCTCCATGTAATGAGACACAAAATCCTGCTTATTTTTTTAAAAAGAGCTTGTTTTATGCTCTTTTTTTTTCCTTCGGAGACTCTTTAAATATCACCGATGAAGTGGGCAGGAAGACAGTGCGATGAAAGCATCTATCCCAGCATGCAGTGCGGCTCAGGCAGATCAATAACAGCATCCATCTGAGCTAAAGCCAGCAGAAGTACAGCAGTTTCCCGGCGTCTGAACCATGTTGTTTAGAGTTTATGTTTCGTGTTTTCAGTCTGACCTCGAGCCAGAACACCTTCAGAGACTCTATGAATATTTGATGAAGTGAAGGTTTGGTGCTGATCTCTGCTGATCTCTGTTGTTCTCCAGGTTTATACCACAAACAGCCCCAATGGAACCACTGGAAAGACGTTTAAGGTTCACCTGCAGCTCTGGGACACGGCGGGACAGGAGAGGTGCGCTCTTCTCTTCATAGTCATGATCACATTCTCATAGTCTCCTGCTTTCCCAGGATCAGCTCCATCTGCGTCCTCTGGACCAGGGCTTTCCAATCTTATAGATGCCTTGGACCCCAAATGTGACCCTGGAGCACAAAACCAGTCATAAGGGTCAATTTTGTGAAATTGAGATTTATACATCATCTCAAAGCGGAATAAATAGTCTTTCCATTGGTGTATGGTTTGTTAGGATAGGACAATATTTGTCCGAGATACAACTATTTGAAAATCTGGAATCTGAGGGTGCAAAAAAATCAAAATATTGAGAAAATCATCTTTAAAGTTGTTCAAATGAAGTTCTTAGCAATGCATATTACTAATAAAAAAATTATTTTTAATATATTTATGGTAGGAAATTTACAAAATATCTTCATGGAACATGATCTTTACTTAATATCCTAATGATTTTTGGCATAAAAGAAAAATCTATAATTTTGACCCAGACAATGTATTGTTGGCTATTGCTACAAATATACCCCAGCGACTTAAGACTGCTTTTGTGCTCCAGGGTCACAAATGTGATCAACCACATGCAGTGGACCCTCATCTTAAAATGAAGAGTTCAAAGTTCAACAATGCACAATAAAAACATGATCACATAATAAAAAAAAAAAAAAAAACTGATTTATCTGTTTTTGCAAATAAACTCTGTTGTAATACATTTATTATTATTTATTTTAATTGATTATTTATCATTTTTGTTTACTTATTTTAATGCTTTAAAAATGTATTAGTTTAGTCTAAGTATTTATGTATTTTAAAATAATAGTTTTAAATATTCTTATTATACATTTATTTTTTAATATTATTTATTTTACATTAATGTTTTTTCTACTCACTATAGTAGTGTACTGTTAAATGTATTATTTATTTATTTCAATCTAATTATTTAATGTATTCTTTTTTATTTATTTGTTTTAAGATACCTTTTGGATTTATTTTAGTATAATTATATTATTTTTTATTAATTTGAATCTTACTTGTTTATTATACATTTATTATACATATTTTTACTCGCTATAAAAAAAGTTCAGTTAGGTAGCCTACATTTTTATATTTATCTTTTATTATTTATTGAAACTATTTATTTTTTACCATCTTTTTGTTTATTTTACATTTATTTTTTCACTATACATTCTCTACTGTTAGATTGATTAATTGATTGTCATTATTATTAAATTATTTTAATATCATTTTTAAATATGTTTATGTTAATCTAACCATGTATTTATTTCAATATAACTGTATTATTTATAATTATTTATTTTAAACTTTAAAAAAAAAATTTTTTTGTTTATTAGTTTTTATATGTATTTATTTTTATATTCCACTGTCTTTCTCTGAACTTTGAAATCCCCTGATTTGGACGGCTGATTGGTTCTCTTGATTGGTTCTCCTGATTGGTTCTCTTGATTGGTTCTGCTGATTGGTTCTCCTGATTGGTTCTCCTGATTGGTTCTCCTGATTGGTTCACTGATCAGAGACTGTGGTTTGTTCTCAGGTTCAGGAGTTTGACCACAGCGTTCTTCAGGGATGCGATGGGTTTCTTGCTCATGTTCGATCTGACGAGCCAGCAGAGCTTCCTCAACGTCAGGAACTGGATGAGTGAGTGACCGCAGACGCACCACTAACTAACTAACTAACTAACCAACCAGCACTAACCAGATTAACAGACTCACTGTGGGCGAGTTTCTCAGTTACAGTGCTTCTTCTTCTTCCTCTTCCTAATTTTTCTCTTCCTTATCTTCTTCTTCTTCCTATTCTTCCTTTTCTTTTCCTCGTTCTCTTCTTTCTCTTCTTCTTCCTGTTTCTTTTTCTCTTCTTTCTTCTTTTTCTGCTTCCTCTTCTTCTGTCGTCTTCTTCTGCTTCCTCTTGTTTTCTTCTTCCTACTCTTCCCTTTTCATTCCCTCTTCCTCTACTTCTTTTCCTCATCCTCTTCTTTTTTTCTTCTTATTCTTATTCTTATTCTTCCTCTTTCTGTTTCTTTTCCTCTTCCTTTTCTTCCTCTTCTTCTTCCTGTTTCGTTTTTGCTTCCTCTTCCTTTTCTTCTTCTTCCGCTTCCTGTTTCCTCTTCTTTTTTTCTTCTTCCTATTCTTCCTTTTCCTTCCCTCGTCCTCTTCTTCTTCCCCTTTTTTTTATTTTCCTCTTCCTTTTCTTCTTTTTCCTCATCCTCTTCTTTTTTTCTTCTTCTTTTCCTCTTCTTCGTCTTCTTTTTATGCTTTCTCTTAATTTTTCTTTTTTCATCCTCTTCTTTTCCATATTCCTTTTTCCTCTTCCTTATGTTCCTCTTCCTTGTTCATCTTCCTAATCTTCATCATCTTCTTCTTATTTTCCTGTGTGTGTGTGTAGGTCAGCTCCAGGCTAATGCGTATTGTGAGAATCCAGATATTGTTCTCGTGGGTAATAAAGCCGATCTGAACGACCAGAGAGAAGTCCAGGAGAAACAAGCAAAGGAACTAGCGGACAAATACGGGTGAGTGTGTGTAAGTGTGTGAGAGAGAGTGTGTGTGTGTGTGTGTGTGTGCTTCCTCTGAGCTCTGGTTGGGTGTCAGTGTTCCTGTGGCCTGCTTCATTCCCGCTGTGTGATGCTGGACACAGGGAGAGGAGATGAGATCATGCAGGAAGAACCAGACACTGACACCCTATCTGCCTCGGCTTTCACCATGCAGCCCATTGCTTTTCTCATTTCCTTTTCAGAGAGGAGCTTAGCCACTCTTGCAACCCGGCAGTAGTGTCGACCGATGCGCCAGCTAAAGCTATAGTGTTAGTTTGGAAATGTAATAGGTTTACCCTGCTTAAAATGTAAAAGTAGTGTAACTATTTCAATTATTTTATTAAAGTAATCTAACTGATTACATTTTGATTACTTTTATACATTTCTAAAGGATGTTTCAACTGTTAATCATTTTCAAGCATTTAAAGCAGGCAGGGTTAACCTTACAGACTGATGCGGTCAGATTTTCAAAATCCTTCTTCACTTGAATTGAGATTATGATAATTTAATTTTAAAGCACAGCCACCACAAAATCAGACCTTTTTACTTTGAGATCATTCTGAGGTTAAATACAGATTTAAAATCATAAAAAACAGTTTTATAGTTATGATGTTGTTTTTTAAATCAAATCCTTGCATAAAGGAAACACTGGCATAGCAATGCCTTGGTTTTTAAGATCTACATTACATATTATTTTTTGGAGTCTACCTGGGTTGGGGTGGGTTCTAAATTTGCACAGATGCTTTTTTTTACATTACTTTTCCTTAAAAAAGTGTGTGTGTGTGTGTGTGTGAGAGTGTGTGTGAGTGTGTGAGAGTGTGTGTGTGTGAGTTTGTTTGTGTGTGTGAGTGTGTGTAAGTGTGGGAGTGGGTGTGTGTGTGAGTTTGTGTGTGTATGAGTGTGTAAGTGTGTGTGTGTATATGAGTGTGTAAGTGTGTGTGTGTATGAGTGTGTAAGTGTGTGTACTGGTATATATGGTTTATGAGGACACAAATATGTATAACGAGTAATGAAATGGGTACTACAACATAAACATGGTTTATGAGGACACTTCCTGTGTCCCCGTAAAACAAAAGGCTTAAAAAACATACAAAACGGTGTTTTATGAAATTCAAAAATTGCCCGTAGTTTTCTGTGAGGGGTAGGTTTAGGTGTAGGGTTGGTGTAGGGCGATAGAAAATACAGTTTGTACAGTATAAAAACCATTACGCCTGTGGAGAAAACCACAAATACAAGTGTGTGTGTGAGTGAGTGAGTGAGTGAGTGAGTGTTTCTCACTCATTCTTGTAGTTTAAGCAATAAATCATGGCACCAAGGTTATGGGTTCGATTCCCAAGTAATGCATCAACTGATGAAATGTATAGCTTGAATGCAAAGTTTCCTAGGCATCTGCCATTTTTTTCAAGAAAAATAAACATTAATAGTAAAATGGTAATTATTGCCTAAAATAGTAATTATGTGTGCATCTTATTTACTTACAGTATTTATTTAAATGATTCATCATTCTTATACAATTCATTTAAATGTACCAAATTTCATTTGCTATGTACATGTTGAAAATATAAAAATTAAATAAAAGTTAGTATAAAATATATTTATATATTCAAAATAATAGTGAGTTAAATTTTGGAACATGATATTGTTTTTATGCCTGGATTAATTTAAAGACGTAAAAGGTGGGGAAATAAATAAATATATATATATATATATATATATATACACACATAACAGTATAAATATTTTCTCTATTTTTTTGTACAATATTATGCTATTATTAACACACTTTTTAATTTTTGTTTTAAAAATATTTATATTGATTTAACATATAACAACCCATATTTCCGTTTTTGCTCGATTTTGTTTAATACATTTCATATATCCATGTATGTGGATGTGTGTCATTATATAACTGCACATGTATTGTTTGTATGTTTTTGAGAGAATCCAGGCTTCTTCTTCTGATGTTTGTCTTTGCCTCCTCTTTCCCAGAATTCCCTACTTCGAGACGAGTGCGGCGACCGGCGCGGAGGTGGAGAAGTCCGTGGTGACGCTGCTGGATCTGGTGATGAAGAGGATGGAGCAGTGTGTGGACAAACCTGCGGCGGACGCACACAACACTGACGGCAGCAGCAAACTGGACGCCGCAGCGGCCGACGAGAAGAAGTGTGCGTGTTAAAGCAGCGGGATCTCAGAGCATCCTCCTGACCTCCTGTATTACAGATGTGTGTGGACCCCTCCAAGAGTCTGTGAGAGCTGTGCTACTGCCTCGTCATCTTTAACAACCCGTCCAAATTTAGCCCAGATTATTACTGTCAGCAAATGCATCTGAAATATTCATATAGAGGTCTTAGCTCAGAAACTCACACTAAAAACCTGATGTGGCCATAATCTCGAGATCATCCAAATGAATGTACATAAAAACAGAAATATCTGACATTCATACACTACCAGGCAGAAGTTTGGAATAATTATGAGTTTTTAGTGTTTCTGAAAAAAAATCTCTTCTGCTCATCAAGGCTGCGTTTATTTGGTTAAAAATACAGTAAAAACTGTAAAAATGTGAAATATTATTATAATTTAAAACAGCTGTGTTCTGCGTGTTCATGCGTGTCCCCAAATCAAACTCCACTCACTTACAGAAGTGCAGATTCATGCAAACAAGTGCAAATGACTAGCTGCAGATCTGCGGTGTGTTTCTGTGTTTGTGAGCGGCTCCAGCACACGCTTCAGACTTCTGAACATCTGACAGAAATTCATAGCAAATGACGTGTCTTTAGTGCATCTATGTGTGAGTACAGACTGAATAAACTGGGAAACATCTAATATACAGGCAGATTAATGCAGATTATGTCTGTCTGATTTAAAAACACGTCAAGATCGTATTTCACCCTAAATTCAAAATCATTAGGATGTTTCACATTGTGACATTATATTCATGACAATACAAAAAAGAAAAACCGCCAAATTCGCACTACTATAAGTATGTAAATGTTTTTCTTTAATTTTAAATTAATTTTTTATTTCTCGTGATTTTCAATGTCTCTCATTACTGTGATGCAGTATTTTATTTTATTTTTAGTTGCAGTAATGAAAATGTAGAGGTTTTTTATTGTTAAATGTTGAAATTGTTGCATTGCAAACACATGCCGGTCCTGAGTTTGGGGTGAAATATAAAAAAAATATCCAGCCATATTTCACCCTAAATTCAAAACCATTAAGATGTTTTGCATTAAATCATTTTCATGACAGTTTACAAAAATATATATATTTTAACACCAAATTCTTATATGTAAATATTTTACTTTTTTTTTTGTCTTAAAAAATTTTGTACTTTTTTTTTTTAATACAATTTTTTTTCAGTTTTCTTAATGAAAAATATATTATTATTTTTGGGGTGAAATTTGACCTGGGCGTGCTCTTGTACAAGCAAATTAATACAAATCACCTTCTGCTTATGCTTTTTTTTTTTAAATTGGTGAATATCATGAAAACGTTCATATTTCACCATAAATTCAAATCCATTGACATTATTTTCATTACAAATTCCAAAAAATTCCCTTCATTTTTCATTCTCAGTAAATCTCACTACTTTTAGTTTTTTTTAATATATGTGACCCTGGACCTCAAAACCAGTCATAAGGGTCAATTTTGTGAAATTGAGGTTTATACATCATAATGATTTTTGGCATGAAAGAGAAATGGATAATTTTGACCCATACAATGTATTGTTGGCTATTGCTACAAATATACCCCAGCGACTAAACACTGCTTTTGTGCTCCAGGGTCACATATGTTTAAATCGGCAAAAAGGCAGCATAAATACTATGGATGTATAAATCACAATTCATGTTTTTTTCTCTTTTCTTATTTTCCCCTCACATTTGTGAAATTACGATCCAAAAAAACCTTAAAATAGACTTAATTTTCTTACTGCATAATATGTCTCATTTTTGTCTTGTGAGTTTGGGGTGAAATATGACCTGGTTTGAGTTTATTTTTGTCCTCTGGTGCCAAACTCATCGTGTGCCATTCTCACGTCTTGGAGCCTCGTGACGCCGCTGACGGTGTGTTTGACGAATGAAATGTGACCGTCTCTGGAGCGCCGCATCGTGTTTCTACTGAACTCCTGCTTGGCCTTGAACTGAGCCGCGGCTCTCGCTTTGCTGTTTTACTGGTTTAGCACCTCGTGTGGTTTCAGGAATGGCTTTCTGACCAGTGATGTTGTTCTCTTGAAGTTTACATTGAAGGATTTTCTCTCCTCGTGCCTGTAAAGATCGACTGACCAATGAAGCACTGCTCCTGTAAGCTCTTTTACTGCATTAAACCGAAAATAACTAAATTAACTCTTCAGTTTCCTTTGAGAGCGTTTATTTTTTGTTATGCGTGCAACATGTTACTAAAGAATAAAGAGGAAAAAATTATCTTGAGTTTGAGTTTGAATGGTCCATTTGTGAATGATGAATATACAGAATTCGCGATGCATTAAAAATTTGTATTTCAAAATACACATAAAATGACCAAAAAAAATATTTCAAAATAAATTTTCCATCAATATACAGTATATTTTTTAATATTTTTTTTTTTTAAATAGATTTAAAAACAAAACCATATATTTCGGTCTAAGAAATCAAATTTTTGTACATTTTTGAAAAAATAAAAAACTAGTCTATAAGTCTATAGCCTATTTTAATATAAATGTCATTAAATTTCAAAAATATATTTCATTAAGCTTCACTGATTATAGCACATATTTAGCATATGATTAAAATATAGAAAAAATCAATTAAATAAAAATATATTCATGTAAATATATATATATATATATATATAAATTTTAGTTTTAAAAACCAAAACCATATATCTTATTGCAAAAAAAATTTGTATATTTTTGAGAAATATAAGTTTTGAAATATATACATTTTAAAATATAATACTAAATGAAGGTTGAAACTTAATATATTTTTTAATTACAAAATAAATTTAATTGAGCTTTAATGTGTATAACACATATTTAGCTTATATTTAAATATATTTTTTGGCCAGAAAAAAAGGGTTGTATGGGTCAAAAACAGCCACAATTTGTATTTTGTCTGTAATTTACCATCACTGTGCCTGTAAATATGAAAATGAAAATGTCAACATGTTTTTCACATCCATAAGAGTGAAAATGAGTTCATCTGAAGTGGTTACATTTTTTTAAACTTTAATGAAATTTTTTTATTTTAAATTCATTTTAAAATACCATTAAAATGCTTGAATTTTCTCAGAAATTATTTCTAGCAATTCTGACTTGTATTCTCTCACCTGTGAGACATAAACTAAGAAATGTAATTACTCGGTCTTTTTTGGCATTTTATTCATAGACAGTTAATGTCAGTTTGTAAAGTTATAAACCAAATAGACCACAAAAAAAAAAACCCATTCTTGGTTTATAATATTTTATTACCATTTGGTAGTTCCACATTAAACTTGTGAACAGCCTGGAGCAGAAACTGCTGCTGTATTTCACAGACACACAGCATCATTAACACTTAATAAAGAGGATTCCCTAAAAACCTTCAGAAGAAGAAAATCAGCACAGGTCCGTACATCAGCCGTCCTGATCGCTGAACGCATGCAAATACACAAACACTTCATCAGCAATATTCATTCCTATCTCCATTATATTAATATGTGCATAATGTAAACAGCTGATTGAACTGAAAATAACAACAGAAACAGAAAGGAGAGCTTGATAAAGAACTAATGCACACGATAGCTTACTGTAACCAGATCTGGCAGTGACGGCGAAGCAGATTCTCCTGAAAGAACCTGTCAATAAAATCCTAAGAGCGTCAGTCCACAGGAAAGAGCTTTTCCACAGTGTTTACCACTTCCTGTTTAATGCGGAGCTTCTCTGGATCCGGTCTCTCTCTCTCTCTCTCTCTCGTAGACCTGGACTCAAGTGGTTTGTGTGATCTGTTTTGGTTTGAAGTCTTTGATATTTGAGGGGAAACAGCAGGTTTACATTGGGGTTTGTCAGTTTTTGATGTAGTTTTAGCTGCGGTTAGGTCTGGTCCCGTCACACCTGAGAGATCTGCTTCTCTGTGGGTTTGGATTGGCTCTGTTGCTGCTCTTCCTCATCATCATCATCCTCTTCACTCAGGTTCAGCTTCAGGCTTTCCAGAGTTTGTCTCGACTCTTTCCTCCTGCAGGACAAATGAACAAAAAACTATATTAGATCAACATGAACATTAACCTAGAAATACATGCTTGATATTACAGATCATTAGACTTCATAGCTTCATGCAAATGCAGTCTAGAATAATTATTATATATGTATTACAGTTATAAAAAATGCATGATAGGATAAAAATCTATATATATTTATGTATATACTTGTTTAATATATAAATATGGTTTATATATTAACACAAATATTTATTTATAATTAAAATAAAATACATTTATACATAAATACTTATTCCAAAAATGTAATTTATATTAACACAAAATAATATGTATTCTAGGGCTGTCAGATTGATTAATCGCAATTAATTGCATCCAAAATAAAAGTCTGTGTTTACATAATATATGTGTGTGTGTTGTGTATATTTATATGT